GACCGACCGGGTCCTGGGCACAGCTCAGCTGAAGCTGGATGCCCTGGAGACAGCCTGTGAGGTCCGGGAGATCCTTGAGGTGAGAGGTGGACATTCATCTGAATGCTACAGTATGACTTGTTAACATTACTCAAGTACTCCCTGCCCTGAGCCTCTTCAGGGGCCCTTCTGCTGACCCAGCCCCTCTCCTGGGAGTCCCAGACCTCCCCACTCCCAGTATCCTGCTCCATTAAGACCAGTTGGTGTCTCAGTCATAACCGTGGGCCCATATTTTGGAAATTAACCTGGTTCTCCCTGATTCCAGCCCTGGACCTCCAGCCCTGGTTCTCCAGCCACTTCCCACTTCCCAACATCCTCCCCTCACTCCCAATCAGGTCTTGGATGGTCGCCGGCCCACAGGGGGACGGCTGGAGGTAATGGTCCGGATTCGAGAACCGCTGACAGCCCAGCAATTGGAGACGACGACTGAGAGGTGGCTGGTCATCGACCCCGTGCCAGCAGCTGTGCCCACTGTGAGACTCCCCTGCCCAGCAGCAACCCCAGGGATGGAGGGAATCAAGGGGGCCAAGCTTCATAAGACTGGTTTTGTCCTCTGAAGCAGGTTGCTGGGCCTAAAGGGAAGGCCCCTCCCGTGCCTGCTCCTACAAGGGAGCCAGGAAACAGGTAGGTGGTTGGGTCAGGCCATGCCAAAAAGAACCCCCCTCTACCCACCTCAGCCCTTTCTGGACAATTTCTTACCAGGCACAAATTGAAGCATGTCTCTCCCCTACTTCAAACCTTTTCTGACTCCCCTTCTCCTAGAGGATCCAGTTTAAACTCCTCAGCTTGATCTTTCAGACCTTTTTTGATCTGATCATTGTCAGTATATCTGGCCTTCTCTCTCCCCACTTCTTCCTGTTGGTTCTTGGCTATCCCTAGTTTTCACTGTCCTCTGGGCTTCTTTGTTACAATGCCCTGAGTACCACTACCCTCATACTTGCTCCTTGCTCCTCTGCACAACTCTGACTCCTGTGGGTCCTAAATTGGTTATTGCTTGCTTCAGGAAGCCCTCCCTGACTTCTTGGTGTCACAGCTGCCTGGGTATACAGCCACCATCACTGCAAGGTTGTGGGCTTAGCAACATAGTGGAGGGCCTGGCTTATCTCTGGCTATTCCCCCGTGCCCAGATTGTTGAATTAATGGGGTCAGGGATGAGTAAGTCATGCAGTCCCTCATCCCTGTCCCCACTTTGTAGATCTGCCCGGCCCCTGCATAGCCTCAGTGTGCTGGCCTTTGACCAAGAACGTCTAGAGCGGAAGGTGGGTGCCCACCAACTGGGCTCGGTGGAACAGGATTGGGGTGTCTGCAGGCTCAGGCTGGGCCTTCACAGCCCCCTCTGCACCCCCCAGATTGTGGCCCTCAGGCAGGCGCGGCGGCCAGTGCCCCCAGAGGTGGCCCAGCAGCACCAGGACATCATGCAGCGCAGCCAGTGGCAGAGGGCACAGCTGGAGCAGGGGGGCCCGGCCATCCGGCGGGGTAGGAACTCGAGGACGGGCACACTGGGGAGGGACGATGGCAGTGGCCCCATCCTGACTGCCTCCCCTCCTCAGAATACATGGCCCAGCTGGAGCGTCAGCTACAGTTCTACACAGAGGCTGCCCGGCGCCTGGGCAATGATGGCAGCAGGGTGAGCCAGGCAAGGTCTGGATGTGGGCACTGGGGGGGTAGAGGCTGCCAGGGGCTTCCCGCTGACCACCTGTTGGACCCCCAGGAAGCTGCAAAAGAGGCACTCTATAGGCGGAACCTGGTTGAAAATGAGGTGAGCAGCTCAGGTGTTGTGGGGTGGAGGGTAGGCAGCTGAGGCCGTGGCCTTCCTGACCCCAGCATCCTCTCCTGTAGCTGCAGCGGCTCCGTAGGTGAGGAGCCGATGGGGCTGGCGGCCCCTGGAGATCGGGCAGCAGGCCTGAGGCCCCAGTGCTGGGAGGAACTGACACAGCTACAGCCTCAGACCAGACAAGCAGACAATCAGCGGACAATCGGCTCTGGATGCACACCTCCCCCGCTGGGCCCACCCAGCCTGGCCAGAGCCTCCCGGTTGGGGCATTGGGGATGATGTCTGCCAGCCAGCGTGTGCCCCCTCGCCCAGGCCTGGTTGGGTCGGCCCCGGAGAGTCCCGTTTGCACAGCCCAGAGGTGTCCGGCCCCTGGCCTGCCCCAGAGGTGGGAAGGTGGCTAGGACCAAGCTCCGAGGGCCCCTGCAAGCACTTTACTTCCTGTCCCTCCCTAGCCTTAACCCTGAAGCCCACCCATATCCCAAAGAAGCCTCTGAGGCCAGCCGAGGTCTGGCTGACCCCGCTGGGGCTATTCTGGCCCACCTGGGCCGCAGAGCTGATACACGGAATAAACAGCCAGGGCCACACCCAGCTTCTACTGTCCTGCCTTTGTTTCTTGCCCTCTGTGGCTAGGCTGGGTCTCCCCATGTACACCCTCCCCAGGGTAGTAGAAGGGCAGCGTCTATGAGAGGAGCGTGCTGGGAAGGGCAGTGTCTGTGAAAGACATGTTCGACTCTCATGTGAAGGCCCGTGCATCTGTCATGGGTCCATGCTGCCTGACGGCACCTGCTGTACTATGCATTTCTTCAGCCAGTGGCTCTGGGCGTATCTGGGTTTAGACATGTGATCGGGCTGTACCTGGAGGTGCTTGGTGACTTGCATGTGTGCAAATCTAAGGCCCTGAAATCTAGCCCTACTGCTCACTAGCTTTGGGATCTGGACCAAATCGCCTGACCCACTTAGCATTCTAGAGCCCCAGTTTCCCCCGCTGGACACAGGGATTGTGAGAACCCCTGCAGTTCTACAAGGTGAAGGGCACCTGGTCAGTGATGAGCACTTGAAAAGATTTGGCTTTATTGTTGCTGTCACCATCTGTGCAGGGAGTGGGAACGTGGCTGGCAGGGCCAGTGTGGTCTATGCACCTGGTGTGTGAGCTGCATGCCTCAGTCCCTCTCTGCATGCAGAGGCGGTGCCCCAGCTTCCCGGCCAGCACAGGTTGGATAGGCTTAGCCCTCGAGGCCTGGGAGAGCTAGGTTGAGACCCCAGGTGGGTGCTATCTCCTTAGTCCATAGCCCAGCAGAGCCCCAAGGCTCTGGATCACTCTTCCAGATCCCTCTGGCTCAAGGACCCCAAGCCCGAGGCTGACGTGGAGCTGTGGGTGGCAGCTGGACCAGGACCTGCTCAAGGTTATCCGTCGTGTCCACCACACGCAGGTGTGGGAGGCCCAAGAAGGCTTCGGGTGCAATGCTGGTCATGTGAAGCCTGTTGGCCCTGGACCAAGAGGTGGGCATGAGGGCAGAGGCAAAGGGAGGGGGCCACAACCCTGACCCCACTGGGCTTACTGGAGTCCTCCGCAGCCCACCAGGGCCTTCCCTTGCCCCCTAGACCCACTCGGCCGCCCTCAGGGCACCTGAGGAAGAGGGCTCGCAGGCTGGGCGTGCTGAGGAAGGCTTCGGGGCCCACGTGGCTGATGCGGTTGCTCTGCAGGCGCAGCTCCTCCAGGGTCTCGGGCAGGTCGGGGGGTACAAAAGACAGCTCGTTGTGGCTGAGGTCCAGCACCTGGGCAGGTGGGCAGAGATGGCCCCATGGCAGCCCCAGGTCCTGGGCCGCTTGCTCAGGCAAGCCCCAAACCATTCTTCTCCCAGACCCTCCTCTCTTCCACGCCCAGCCTGGTCCTTCTACCCCTTCCCCTCCCCTCTTCATGGCTGCCGATTTCCTCCTCTCAACAGAGGTAAACTGAGTCCTTTCTGGGGCAGGCCCTGCTGTAGGTGCTGGGGGCAAAAACAGGTTCCTGCCTGCTGTGGGAGGTGTTAATGCAGCTAGTCATGAAGATGGCACTTCTTCTGCATCCTCATGCTCTTCTATTATTAACTATGATTGTTATCGATCGCATTCTCCCTAACCAGGGTGTCTGTGCCTGAGACCAGGAGCTGCGTCACTGTGCCCAGCAGCATCTCCAATGCCTAGAGCGGTGCCTGGCACCCACAGATGCTCTAAACTTGAATCAACAGTGGTCAGAAGGAGCTAGAGGTCACGGTGTTCACTGGGGAGGTGGCGTGGGGACCAGGCGGCAGAGCATAGCCAAAGGCCT